GTATATGCGTTATCTTCCTTCAGGATAAATTATGAATTCGTGAACAAGAATTAGAAAATAAGATTGAATTAAATACTGCCTGTCGCTACTTCAAATTCTGATTTAGTGAAATGGAACCAACACACTAGCAAGCTAGGCATCAATATTTAGCTTAAACATATGGCCTTTATTTATATGCAATTATTAATCAATAATTATTACCAATTAAGAGTAGTAATTAAAATACTTAGGATTAGGTTAGTGACAATACAAATCCTTTTAAATGAAGGTGATCAGGAGTAATTTTTTACCTATATAACTATTTGGATTTAATTACTTAAGAATCCACTCTTCGATTTTTTTATTTCCTTGATCTATCTAATTCTCTTGGGGCAAGTTTTTTTTAACTCATTTTCTTAATACAATTGATAACGTTGCTTTTATGCTTCTAGATTGTAGGATAGATGTGAATTTTCAAACAAAATGTACCGCAACATTGTTTTTGGGGCTTCGTCAGTAGCCAGCGCTATTTTTTGCTCAAACTAATGCATAACATCTTAGTTCCTATCATGCTCAATTCATGTAATAGTCTTTCCTGGCTCCTTTTCCCTTGTGACTTTTCTTTCTTCGCCCCTTCAAGATGCAGACTCAAGTGAATTGCTTTCCCCCGGCTTTCCTGACCTTGCTTTCCAACGTGGTTGTATTTCTGTGCCTCCTTCCATCCAATTGGCACGCATGTCCATTAGGTCTAACACCGATGACCTTGGATTAGAATCTATCGCTAACCTCACAAATCTGGTGTTTGTGGAGCCACAGTTGAGCTTCGATCTACAAGACTCTCTTCGCCGAGTAGGTCATCAGGTACAAGTTATTGGTCAACCTTCAAGCCCATTCTCTAGCTGGCCTGGTCGCGTTTATATAGCCGGTTGGGATCGGTACCTTCTGCTGGCTTTCGGCGATGCCAGAGCCAAGAATCTTACCGGAAACCTCGCCCAATTTTAGGCGACAGTCTTTATTAGGACTATAAAATTTTGCTTTTTTATTGCTCTTGGCTGCTCTTGATTAAATACCCTAAACTTTCATCTATCCTGCATTATGTACTATCTTCCTTTATGTTATTTTTATTTCTCTCTTCTATGTTTCTATATTTGTCTATCCTTCTGCATTATTTCTCGTCTTTTTTGTAGCATTCTCCATGCTTGTTAGTTTAAAATATTTTGAATACTATCTTGTATTCTTCAAACGCTTCTAATGATCTATGCGCTTTTACATTCTTATCTCTGGTGGTTTCTTGAAATTTCTAAGTGTTTTTTTTATCACCATGTATTATATCAAAGCCTACAACTTGGTATGAAGACCAAGATGGTGTGGCCTTTTGTATGGTCGCAGTCTCCTTTCGTTGTATAGAGGTTGTTTGACCTTGTTTTCGCAACATGGTCATATTTATAGGAAGACTTATTGGAACGCACCTAGTCCGGGGTACATTGTCTGCATAATCATTTCCGAAGTTGAACCGTGGACGTGGTACATTCTCACGGTTCAACTTTGGAAATGATTATGCAGACAATGGACCCCGGACTAGGTGCATTCCGCTAAGTCTTCCTACCAATATGACCATGTTGCGAAAACAAGGTCAAACAATCTCCCTACAACTTGGGTTTGTTTATTTTCATTCTTTTATTTCCACTTGCTGCCTTGAGGCTCATCATTTAATCACTCTAGTAATATATATTCTGAAATATCGTGCACGCCAGAATCCTCTACTAATTCTACTCTCCTTTATTCCAAAGTGAATTAATAAATTCACATTTCTCTCCCAAGTCTCTTGAGATAAATCCACATGCAAATGATCAACCTTGATGCGAATGCTCATTAAAATAACTTATTACATTGTTAGTACTAGACAATTTCAGAATGTTGGTTTTCGTCCCAACTTGTCTGTGATTCTCTTATCGTCAAACTTTAGATCCTACTTGGACTTATCTATTTAATGGTTTATTGTCTTGTCATGCATGTGAATCTAATTTAAAATCCTTATGTAATATATTTAATAAGCAGTATATTTTTTCTGAACAACTTAGCCTAATTATTTTTCTAAATTAACTGCCTGAAAATGATTATATTTAGTGGGACATTAATAAAGTAACTAGTCGTTTTCGGTGTTTATGCTTTGGCTGAGTGATAAATAAGATTTTACTTTGTCTATTTTAAAACAAATTTATTCTGTGCATGTCTTTTCATGGAATAAACGTAAAAAATTATACTAATTTGATAAACGCTAGCTTCAAAGAGTATCAAAATAAGATACACCTTATGCTATCCTTGGACCCTGCATTTCGTACTACAATCTTGATAGAAGGGATTTATAAATTGGTCCTACTCCCATCAAAGAAGATTTAAAGAAAAACTGGGTTTCGAAGTATCCCTTAGTAGGAGTTGTTTGACCTTGACTTCGCAACTTGGTCATATTAGCAGGAAGATCTAGAATAACGCACCTTGTCTGGAGTCCGTAGTATGCATGATCATTTCCAGAGTCGGACCGTGGACTTGGTACATTGCCAGACATTTCGCTGGTATCATCAGTGAGTCTTGCCATTCTCATCAACCAAGCTACACCTCGTTAGAGACAAGTGAAGTCAATGCCTTGACTAACTTTCTGTCAAAACGGTTATGCTATCACTACTCGTTTTGTCCTGGTCCCTCTATCCATTTCCTACCCCTTTGTCTTGCCCTCGTCTTATCACAACTTCTGACATGCTTATATTCCACGAGAGCTGTGCCCTTTTGGTGAATTTACCCTGACGTAATCATCGCTCAACAGGAAATTGTTCCGAAAGAAGTATTATGTCGGAATAATACTCAATTTCGAATCTCATCATAACTACAGAATGAAGATAGGCATACTGAGGAGCATGCTTAGCAGAAGCATACGATTAACGGACTTGTAATTCTGGGATGAAGAATAGGAAAAAATGACTAGGATATTCCTCGTTAATGGATACCCGAGAGAAATAATTCAAATAAGCATACTGGCTATGAAGAGCCGATGGCAGGACGGAGATTTTGAAAGAATGATGAAGATGAAGAAAGACTCACAAAAGTGGATGTCTTCCTGTAAACTAGCTCAAAAACTATGGTCAATATTGAGAAAATGGAATATTCAGGTGACCTCCAAGGAAAGAACAACACTTCACAAGTCTACCCACACAGCATGAGAGGGTAGATACTTTGGATTGCTTAGGAGTTTACTGCATTGCATGCGGCATCTGGGAAAAGAAATACATTGGCGAAACTGAGATAAAAATCGGCATACGAATTAAGGAACATCAAAGGCTCTGCATGAAAATGGATACTGAAAGATCAGGTTTAGCGGAACACATCGCATAGACTGGACACTAAATCAATTAGAGGGCAACAAAAAGAAGGGCTTCATACAGTGAAAGCACAAATAAGCTGAAGTTTAGGGAGGCCATTGGGATCCTTTGGGGAAAAATTTGATGAACAGGAGATTGGAATAAGGCAGAATCAGTGTTAACCTTGCCTTTCGCCTAATCAGCATGGATGAAATTAGACAAGCAAAACGGAGACTCCTGGACTAAGGATCTATCGTAAACCAGAGGAAAATGGATCGCATGGAAGAAGAGGGTGAGAAAATTTCGAAAATGAATCGAAGACGTTTTCAGTAAAAGTAGTCAGCTCGAATAGGCAACTACAATTTGGGGGCCCGATGTCTTACGTGACTAGGGAAAGGGAATGGGTCATAGAAGTCATACATTGCGACCAAATGGGCTAATAATCTATTTTAGATGCAGCAGGCGACCAGAGATAGATGTCTACAATTTGCTTAGTGTATACCGGCTTAATCGAGATGGTAAGTGAAGGTAATGCGTAATATCCTCAGGCATGGCAATCAGAGCCTAGGCGCTCTGAAAATAATGCGACTTTGTACGTGCCACTAGAGTCTTGAGATAAAAGTATGCCGGGGCTGGAACCGAGTGAAATTGGTTAACCAGAAAGATAAGAAACGGACCCACGGTCCCATGAGGCAGATCCGGACAGCAGACTAGAGCAGGATGAGCCACTCGAAAGGGAGGGGAGTAAGGCAAACAGCAGGTGTGATGACGCCACGGTAAATTCGCCAAAAAAGCACAGCTCTTGTAGAATATAAACATGTCAGACGTTGCAATAGGACGAGGGCGAGACTAGATGGTACGAAATGGATAGAGGGACCAGGACAAAACAATGAGTGATAGCATAACCGTCTCGACAGAAAGTTAGTCAAGGGATTGACTTCACTTGTCTCTGACGAGTTGTAGCCTGGTTGCTGAGACTTGCAGGGCTCATTGATGGTGCCGGCGGAACGTCTCGGAATGTAACAAGTCCACGGTCCGACTCTGGAAATAATCATGCATACTATGGGCTCCGGACAAGTTGCATTCCTCTAGGTCATCCTGCTAATATGACCAAGTTGCAAATCAAGGTCAAGCAACTTATATAATACGAAAGGAGACCGCGCTCATATAAAAAGCCATACCGTCCTGGTTTTAATACCTTATATCTCTTAGTAGATTTAAGCTAGAATACAAATGCGGATAGAAGGGATTCGTAAATTGACCTCATCGGATATCGAAAAAGCGTTGCTTTGTACTTGCCATTGTTGGATTATGTGAAGAATACATCGGCTCACCGTCCTGCGACCCCGATTACTCCTTACTAAGCTTTCGTCCGTCATTTGACGTATGTCGTCAGAGCCAGAAACCATTATTTATGAACAGTCACCACAAAACACTAAATCCTACATATATTTCGTTTGTAAGTAGGATTTCGAGACCATATCTCATATAGCTAAATCCTGCTTACCGTGCGATCGTAATGATATATTCCATGATTTGGTTGGCTGTTTTATGCTTGTCCTACGTGCGTGTATACGAGTGGAGCTGATTCAGGAAGGAGACGAGTGTGGTCACAACATTTTTTATGTAGGTAAACCAGTGTATTATTCTGTAATATTGAGGCTTGGTTTAGCTTCTTGGATGCGTGTGCGCTGCCTGTATTCAATTCTCACGAGTTAGATGGCAATTTTGGGTCCCAGACTAAACTCCAGGTTAGACAAATCTTCTCTTATTCGGTGACTCTTTCTATAGCTATCTTTGATTTTATCCAGCAACAAGAGATGGTTATTGCTTAGTTTCCTATACTCATTATTCTTATCCCGTATGTCCTTTGT